GAGCTCCACTGTCAAAGTACCCCAACATGGCAGAACACCAACTCGCGATGGGCAGTTCACGCCACGAGCGTAGGATCCCGACCGCGATCATACGCCCGTCACGCAGATCCCCACTCCGCGCCTTCGACACATTTCAAAGTGCGTCGAACCGACATTAGGGTCGAACGAATATCTCCATACGAACACAAACTTCGTAAAAAATTCATAACCACGATAGCGGTCAGGCACATACATCAAATATTGTTATTCATCAAATAACTACTATAAACTAAGCATTCATCGAGTAAACAATCATAAACAAAGCAATCATAATATACCGACCACAAGGGCCGACATTGTCCAAAATTACAATTTAGGCACGACGGCAAAAAACTAAAGGAATGAAAGCATGAACACAAGCCCCAAAATAACAGCGGACACACATGCCCAAATATGTAAATAAAAGCATTAATCACTCCCCGGAGTACCAACGTCGACGCCAGGACAGTCAGGAGGAGGCACCATCCGACCATCAACAACCTGGGACAGAACCCCAGTCCCTTCGGTATTCAACCCCAGATTCAGCATGAACAGTTGATTCACAATAGACTCAAAGCCACCGGCCAAAGCGTCAACACAGTCCGACTCCAAAAGTTGAATTCAAGCGATGAAATCAGCACGGGTGTGCAAGTCGGCCACCCTTTCAGGCTCGTCCTCCATGGGCAGTATAACAACCCTCAGATCTTCGACCTTTCTCAACATCCGTTGGTTGTCACTCTCCAACCACTCCTTATCAAGCTGGAGGCGGTCTTTGTCCTCAAGGGCTCTGTCGGCCCTCTCCTTCTCCCCCGACAGCACGTCAGACTACTCCCGAAACATTTCCTTGGAGCGTTCAAAGGCAACCTTCAGTTTGCAGGTTTTGGCCACGAGATCCGCCTTCTTCGACTCCAGCTCCTTGACTCGATCTAAGGAGTTTGACCCTTCACTCGCAAGGACAACTGCCATCTTGGCCATTTTCACCACCCCGATCATGCTGGAAGCGAGGTGTTTCCTCCGACCTTCCTTGTCGAGCCGTCTGATGATATCGGCCTCGTTGTCGGATATGGTCAAGGGAAACCCCTCGAAGAAATCTTTTTCCACAAAATAGTGTGGCAGGCTAAAGGCCCAGGCACCCGCCCCTCCATCGGTCACCTCGACTCCACCTTCTGGTTGACTCTGTTTCTTGCTAATCAAAGAAGATTGGAGCTTGGTGTCATGGGAACCCGAGGACCCACTGGATCCTTTCCTGTCCGACTCAGGGGTCGGACCCATTCACGTGGCTTGTTGCAGCTTCACCAACCTCTTACTGATCTTCTTATCTTGGATCAGCTTCAGTAATCTCTCTCGATGTTCTTCCATGTGACCTGCAAAGGAAATGTACTTGGGTTAGCCACATCGAAGAAAACAAAAAAAGAGAGAGAATGATATCAATAGAGTAAGCAAGAAACCTAAGAGTTCTACGGCTTGCCCGTAAGACTGGAACTCGACGAGCGTCTTGGTATTGATCAGATGTGCCTCAAACGTCGGCTCGCCATCCTCATCAAGAATGTCGTTCCCTTCCCTCGTAACCCACTGAGCAGGGAAGAAACCATCGACAAATTTATTCAGGACGCCATAAGCCTCCTCGTCCTCGGTGCTCATATCGCCAGCGGGAGTGTTGTAGTATCCAGGTCCATGGTCGTAATGGCCCGAACACCAGTGGACGAAAAACTTTGAGACTTTCCCAATCTCAGGATTACCCTCAGAATCCAAACACGACTCCCCGTCCTCGTCCACCACGGCAGACAGTTCGAACAACGAATCCACGACTGTTTGAGTAGACGGTTGCAAAATATATCACTTATCCTTGAAATTCCGAACATAATCCATATACATCCTAAACAACCTTTTCGACTACTTAAGGGACACCTAACTATGCTTCCCTCCTTGGTATTGTCGTTGCAGGTGAAAAACCCTAAAGAACTGGGGAATCGTTGCCCTGATCCTCAGGAAACAACATGTAAGTTCAAATGCCCGGATAAAGGCAATCGCGTTAGGATGAATATGGGAGGGAGCCAGGTTCAAGTGACTGAACACTCCCATCTGGAAGTCGTTGAAAGGTAACCGGAGCCCGAGATCTTTAAATACGATTTCGTACATAGGGAAGGTGTCCTGAGTAAACTCCGAGCAAATGCGGGCGTCCCTTGTCGGCCTCATGATCTTAAAGATTCTCCGAAACCCCTCTTGGCCGCCGTCGTACTCGACAAAAGTATAAGCTTGCCGGCCGGTATAGACATAAATTAAAGCTATCCCCCAGGGTTCCGCATCGACCCAGTCTAGAGTAGGATCGTCGACGGTGTCGACCAGATTCATGCTTTCCTCGACAGTGCTGGTTTCCTCAGTGTCAATGTGCTCCGAGGACTCGGGAATATTGACCATTTACCTGCAAAGCACAGGAAACTGGTGAGTTTGATAGCAAATCCACTTTTCCGCGACACATACGAGGAGAAGTAAGCAACACCCAGACCAAGTCAACGACCATTCGCACAAAAGAGGGGGAACATGTGGACCTCGATCGAACATCGGCCTTAACGGCGGACGTCTATATCAATCATAAATATCACGGGCATAGTAAGAATATCGCGAGCAAAGGATGGATTTCACGACCAAGTTCATAACATTGTTAGCCAGATACCAGAATACCACGGGGAAAACTAGCCTACATACTAACGAAAGGATGAATCTCCCGACCAAGTTCATAAATCTATTAGCTAAACGCATGAATATCACGGGCATGATCATAAACCGTATGCCTAAACGTATGAATGCCGCAGGCATGATCATGAATCAGACACCTAAAGCGCTTGAATTCCCCGGGCACTATCCACAGACACGAAATTCTACCACTACACACTACAAAAATCTATCTACAACACAAGATATCAAAGAAAAAGAACGCTTACTTGGAGGAAAATGAGGAGCGACGGTTGTGGAGATAAGTACATGACGGACTGTGCGACGGTCTCAATGACACTAGGAAAACGCGCGGTGTTGACGACAGAGAAAATATGAGAGCGTGAAAATGTGAAAACAAGTTATGGGCCCTGAAGCCCTATTTATAGAGATGACGTGGAATGTGAAACGTCGCGTTGGGCAATCACAAACCGCCTTTATCCTCGACACATACTCGCATAGACAATGATGGCCCCTACTCCCTAGGCCGCCATTATGGTTTCCAAGAGCCACGCCACATGTCTGACTAGTGTATCATTCTCTCCCCGCGAGTATTCCTCGAACACTCTTTGACCACTACATGAAGCAGATCATGAACCAGGCGACGTCTTCCGTCCACGGTAGAAAAACCATGTGTCGCGCAGTGAGTCTCACGAAGGGGCGAACTTGAATCAAGTCATAACTCCTTCACCAAGAGCAATGACTTGGGGGGCTCATGTTCTGGACTGGGCCCGCCCTTGGCCCAACTACCAGTGAGGCCTAATCCAAGCTTGTCAACCTGATGCGTTGGGAAGTATTTCCCTCAAGCACATCCCAACCACAGATGTCTTGTCGACCAAGACTGCTCCCCGTCGGTGCTCGCAGAGACCATCTCCAACGAGCACGCGCTCCTCCCGGGCACCTTCCTCGTAGGGATGACTTCCAATCTCTCCGGATTTCGCGGAGTCTTCATGGTCCCGGAAAGATCGCGTCCCTATCCTCCCTGTCTTGCGGAGGACGTTATCCAGGTAGGGGCTACGCGCGGGTCCCCACTACACACGTAGAACCTGACAGTCTCTTTGATTGGGCCTGTTTGATCAGCCCAATAAAGAGACCTTGACCCAGCGCTGAGGGCTATAAATACCCTCTCTTCCTAGAGGGTCAGGTATTCAACTCATATCTCAGAACTCTTACTTGTTTGCTCATTCTGCTTCTTACTTTCCCATCAGAGTGTCTTGCAGGTACCCCCAATCTCACTCAACTTCTGTCCGAGCCAGCTGTGATGGTACATCTCTGATCCGATAAGATCAAATACGTTTTCTAAAATAACAATGGTAAAAGTGAAAACTTTATAATAAGCAAAACTTTGTAATAAGCAAAACTTTATAATAAGCAAAATCTTTGTAAAAATCAAAACTTAAACTTGAACTTTGTAATAAGCAAAACTTTGTAAAAATCAAAATTTTATAAAAATGAAATTTTTCCACATTTACTACAAATATTAGTTTGTCCTGTTATTGGAAAACGAAGGATAGAGACAACAAGCTAAACATCAGTTCAACTGTTCCACAGTCGAAGGTAGTAGCAAGCGACAAGAGGATGATTGTGAATAATACGAAAGAAAAATCAAGATAAACTATGAAACATCACAAGATAAAAAGATGAACAAAAAAGTGATATGTGTTACCTGTGGAGAAGGCGCTTGAAATGGAAGAGGAAGAATCCGAAAGGTGCTTAGTTGGGAATGTGTGTGGAGAGAGAATGAAGAAAACAAAATGAATGAAGAAGAGAGAATGAGAGGGAAATGTATTAAAAGTATTGAGTGTTGCATAAAATTGTCTACCGAATAATGTAATGTTACATCCAACATCTAATAGAAAGAAGAAGAAAGAGAAAGAAAAAGACGAAAAAGAAGGAGGGAAAAATGGATTTTTCAAATGAGATAGATGGGGAAAAGAAAAAGGAAAAAATATATATGCCACTTGATAAAATACTTGATTTTTATTGAACAAATTAATTTGATTTAGTCAATTATAATTAAAGACTAATTTAGTGTAAAATAATCTTGTTATAAAGGATAAATTATTATGGAGTTTAGTAGCATGTCTTATTCTTAGTATTAGTTACGTAATTGATTTTTGCAATTTAGCTCACACGTGTAAATCTCTATTTCATTTAATTTCTTAAAATTTCAATTTTATTTTTTATTAACATACAATATAACTGTTTTATTTATATTGCCTTAGCCTTTTACAGATTCGTGTCTTAGTTGAAGCAACGGAAATCGAATAATGGCGCTGACAACCTCTATCCGATTTGGTTCTCTCGTTCTTCCCCCGTCAACTCCCACTTCTAGTTCTCACTCTCACGCTCTTTCTTTCACTTCACCCTCTTCACGCTTCTCGTGGTAACCGCTATGCAGTTTTATGCTTTTCATTTCAACCTTCAAGTTTATGTTATTTTCTATCACAAATTAGGTTTAGGGATTTTCCATTTCCTTGTTATTTTTTTCTATTCGGTTCTCGCAATTGAACATGAAATTGCAGGAAATTGGGAGCAAGTAGAAAAGTTACTCAAAAATCTGCTTTGAAGGTGAAGGCTGTTTACGCTAACGAGAACAGTTTTTCAAGTCATGAAATCTGGTCCATCAGGTCTTGATTTCACTTCACAATCAAACATTGAGTTTTTCATTGTCTTATATATTGAGTTGCTTTTAAATGTTTATGAAGGGAAGATTTGCAAGTTCCGTCTTCCCCTTATATCCCTGTTCACGCACAAGGACAGGGACCCCAGCCAATGGTGCAAGAGCGTTTCCACAGTGTTATTAGTCAACTTTTTCAATATGTAGGTCTTTCTTGTTTTTATAATCAGGTTTGGGACTTTGGGTATGAAACTGCTCTTTAGTATTTCAGTTATTAATAATATGTTTTGGTATTTAGAGAATTATTCGTTGTGGAGGGCCGGTTGATGATGACATGGCCAACATCATAGTTTCTCAGCTTCTTTACCTTGATGCTGTGGATCCTAAGAAGGTGCGTTCTTTATATTTTTCTAGTACAAGCTCTTAATCAACTACCTAATCTTGTGATATATCGATCAGGATATTGTAATGTACATAAATTCTCCAGGAGGATCAGTTACAGCGGGTAATATTTTTGTTTTTGTAAATCTTCTTTGCATTTGTTTTACTGTATTCAATTCATGTGTAGACTTAGAAAGAGGAATGACAGAGTACTTCTTTTTGGTTTAGGCATGGCAATATTTGATACTATGAGACACATTCGACCTGATGTGTCCACTGTTTGTGTTGGATTAGCAGCAAGGTAAGTTTACTTCTTATTCTATGCAAGATCACTTTTTACAAGTTACCACCAGTAAAAGCTGTCATTTGAATGTCTCGACTATCGATCTTGTTTGTGTACCAGTAGAACTTGTTACAAATTCCAGTTGAATGCTAGAAGGAATATATCAATTATTTATCATCTTAAGACCCTTCCTCCTTCACTCTAATTTTGGGTGTGAATGTGTGATGTTCTTATGAGGATATGTGTATGAAATGGTTCCTGCAATATAAATTTCTTCATAGCATTGATATTATGCCACTGAAATCGATTGATAGTTTGTTGCATGCTTGCTATTTTTCGCCTTTTTCGTGTGCAGTATGGGTGCTTTTCTCCTATGCTCAGGGACCAGAGGTAATGATTCCCTTAACCTGCAATACTGCCTTATCCTCATTTTTCATTTTCCTAATATTTAGTTTTTTTTCCTTCAAATTTCTGTTTCTTCAATAAGAGAAAAAAAGCTTCATCTAACGTTATCTCTCCTTCACTTCTGAAGGAAAGAGATACAGTTTGCCAAATTCAAGGATAATGATTCACCAACCGATTGGTGGAATTCAAGGAACGCATGCTGAGATGGCTATTCAGGTACCGACTACTGACCCCATTTTTCCATCTTGTTTCGTATTATTATTTATGTACTTTTGTTATTGAAAAATAGAACTTATCTTTGTTATTGAAAAATAGAACTTATCTTTGTTAGTTGAAATTGATCTTTAGGTAAATGAAATGCTGCATCATAAGGCAATCTTGAATGGCTATATCTCCTACCAAACTGGCCAAAGTTATGAGAAGATCAACCAGGATACTGACTGGGACTTTTTCATGGGTGCAAAAGAAGCCAAAGAGTATGGACTCATAGATGGTGTTATCACGAATCCTCTGATAGCTCTCCAGCCATTAGCGGCTGCAGCCGAGGTTAATGACAGGGCTATCGTCTGAAATTAAGAGAGATTGTTGCTTCATTGCTGAGTAAACCATAGTGTTAAGTAGGAGTGTTCATCTTCCCATGTTGATACCCAGGTGAAAATATGGCCAAAGTTGAGGTAAAAATGAACTCATGATGTTTTCTTTTTCCCTTCAAATCTTCAATATTTTTTTATTATGTTGGGATCATGTATCATTTAGTTTATAACCGGTTTTGAATAAAACCAAAATTTCAATCAAACAATATCATGTGATGATGAACATTATTCTGTTTAACTCTTCTCACGTCATCATTTTTGTGAATATCATTAGTTATGTAGACACTGCCACGGAGTGCCGATGTGTTTGAATATAATTGGTTCTGTAAACACCGCCATTGAATGTTGATGTGTCTGTGAGCATCTCCGTTGAATGTTGTTGGTTCCGTGAATCTTGCCGATGAATGTTGACGTGTCTGTGAGCATCTTCGTTGAAGGTTGTCGGTTCTTGAACATTGTCGATGAACGCCATGGTGTGTGAGTCTCAACACCGTTTCGAGCACCATTGTTGAATTTTGTTGGTTTTGGGAATGCCAAATTAGACTCAGATCTCCAAATAGTCATTTGATTCACACGCCATTAAAAAAAATCATTTGATTCACACAAACGATTCAAGCAGGAGTAACTGGAGGCACAAAAATGATAGAGAAATACATGTAAATTGATTCACATAAAACTATTGAGAAACTCACATAACACCTAGTTGCTACTATACTTGTCGCAGAGTGGAAGTTATGTTAGAGCTTCGAAAGTTATTTTTCAAACACATTCATTATACTTTTTTTTCACACCCACCCGACAGTTAACTTGTGAAGCACCCACACTTTTTTTCTCACTTAAGTGAGTTTCTTACATCCTGAGTTAGTTGCAACTAACAATATCTATTGCTACTAACTTCTAACTTCTCTTAACAGACTCGCATAAGCTTTTCTCTCTATTAACATCTAATTATTCAAGGTGCCAATGCTTAATGGATGCCGTTCAAAATGGACATAGAGCAACAAGAGGCTTTATTAGCAGACGTGCAATCTTGATAAGATAAAACAAATGGTAAAGGGTATGCAACATGGTTAATTAATGCAGTATGAGTGTTTAAAATAGAATTATAGTGAAAATCTTGCAAATATTTAGGTTTCTTAACTATTCTAGTAGACTTTAAGAGGATCAAGGGGTTGGAAGGAGAATCAATATAACTCATGACACAACTATAGGCTCAAGTTTGGATGTGTCTTGAAGGGATGAGGATCAAGGTCAGAGTTGCAAGGTATAGGGTCCGGAACACAATCATTTGAATGGACGAGCTTTAATGTGAGATTCAATGGATGGTGTGGATGTCACAGTTTGAGATGACCGAAAGGGAAAATGAGTCTCATAAAAATTAAAAATGAAATTTGATTTCCTGTGAGAATTAAGGTCTCATTTATCCATTGAGAGAGAAGAGGAAAAGTAAAAGGCCTCATTGGACATTACAATAGAGATCTTCTATATGGAGAAAGATAAAAAAAACTTAGTTACTTCACTAACTAACTATTTTCAAGTAGCTATATTCAGGAGGATTAAGCATGTTTTTCTCCTATAATATTTTAAATTTGATTTTTAGTCCATATAAAAAAAAATTCATAAATTATTTTTGTATGACGTTTTAATCCTTTTCCAAAGATTAAAACTATGCACAAAAATAATTCTATAAGAATTAAAACATAACTTTTTTTATAGGGATCAAAAATTAAATTTAATAATTTTATAGAGATCAAAGAAGATATTGATTCCTATTCAAGAAGTAGTAAAATCCCTAACTAATTTGTGACTAACTAGCTAATTACAATGTAACTATTACAAGCATGAAACAGTAACATAACTACAAATATGATAAACACTGTTGACATAATTGTGTCGGTATACTTTAAATAAATAAAAAAGTCCTTTTCAAATGACAAAACTTAACGGGATCTTACATCCAAAACAATGTGACACGGTTGAAGTTTAGAAAACTAACAATAATAAATTAAATCGATAAAGATGAGAATGTTGTGTTAAATAGGTGACAAGAATAATTCACAATCGCTTCAGCATGCATCATAGAAAGGAGAGAAATAGAAAGCTGCCAAATTGAAATGTGGGAGTAGCTAGCATACCATATATGAACAATAATAACACACATATTACATTCTTCTAGACAAAAAAAGGCACATTAAAAAAAACACTTGAATCAATCAAAAAGGGGCAACAGGAATCCTTTCACCAGAAAAAATGCTCCTAGTAAAGTGAAAAACAGATGAAGACATAGGTAACTCCTCAAGTTCATCGAAATAATCAAGTTCTTCTGATTTTGATTCTGACAAACTCTTTAATTGTGCTGTATAGCAGGGTGGTTTTTCCTCTAAAACAAGATCCATATGGTGTTTTTCCATGCTCAGTTTGAAAGGATCTTCTATTGGAGATTGCAAGTAATGAAATTTTTCTTCATTTGTTACTTGATCATCGGTCACATTGCTCTTAGTATTATTCATTTCTTGTTCTACATGTTCTTGGTCTTCTTTCTTGGAGGTAATTGGAAGATCTTGGATTGTTTCGGTTTCGGATTCTTTTGGTTGTCGAACTGAATTTGTGGCGGAGATGGCAGTGGGATCTGGATGGTTGTGTGATGAAGTATAGGTGATGATGAGCATTGAAGAATCTGTGCTACTTCTCTCTACTTGCTTTTTAGCTGAACAACCTTTGCATGTGCTGCATCTATAATATCCCCTGCAAATTTTGTAGCAATATTTAACAAAATGTTATAAGAAACATTGACACAGACACGACACAGTTGAAAAATGATAAAGATCTCAAATAAAGATGACAAATCATAAGCCGACATAGACACATATGTATCGTACAGAGATAAATAGGACTTAAAAAATATGTCACTTTTTTATATCGTAGAGCCTTTAATTATTTTGTCGTGGTTGAATTGCAGATAACTTATTTATGGCCTAAAAAAACTTAAGACGATTCTGGTATCAGAAGTATCTAGTCTATATTTGAGGCAAAATAGACTAGTTATTCAATAAATAAACTTGAAAACCAAATCTTTGTTTATAACAGTGTTCAGAAAGAGTACATTTCTAGAAGATGATCATCATGAAAATAAAAGAAAGTTCATAAAAGACAATATCATGGTGATATCTAGTGAAAAGAATGTACATACCTTGGATATGGAGAACCTTTGATTGGCTTTTGTCCATATTTCCTCCATGACCATAAATCTGAAGGAAATCCTTCATTCTTTACCTTACTAACATTCTCTCCAATCCTCACACTCACAACCCTTTTCTGAATCATTTTCCTATCACATGCAAAACCATATATAAAACATGCAACCTATAACTTTACCAAAAACCATAAAATCTAAAAAGAACCATAACTCACCTTTTCTTGGATGCTTGAGATTCTGGTTTAACCTCTAAAGATGTTTCACCTGACTCAAGTTGAGGGGATGCATTATTGTCCATCTCTTGTTTTCTGCTGCAAGCTTGATCTGTGATATTTATTATTTTGATTTAAGAGGAAAATATTAAATATTAGCTAGAGAAATTAATAGAGTAGCTAGGGAGAAGGAGAATGAAGAGATAATGGCAATGTTGTCAAGTGGTTATATATTTTATTTTCCATGTTCATTTAATATAAAGCAGCTAACAACTATGCACGTATCAATGCTATCAGTCCCCAGCAACCCCACCATGCAATATAATAATAATAACAACAATGATCAAGTCTATATATCATTAATTTATTTGCTTGTACTTAATAAATTTAGGATATTGTTTTTTAATAGCTTCACCAAAACACAAAAGGATAATATTGTTCCTAATACACTTTCAAATACTTATAATGGTGTGTGATTGGCTATATTCATACAATGAATGTGATTTGATGTTTGTGTAACACTGATCATAAATATAAATTAAATCTAAAAAAATAAATTATAATTATAGGGATACATAATAATTTTTTTTAGGGATGATGGCTACACAAAGGGCGGCAATGTCCGTCATATCACTGTAAATGTACGGATAATCTCACACTGCCACGTGGATTATGTATCCTACATGATACTATTATAGAACATTGAAATGGCATTTTAGAAGTAAAATTAAAAGGAGTTTTTTAATACATCACTAGAACACCACGTAAAAATATAATAATATTTTTATATTTTGAAAATGCATCTTTCGACACACTAAACATATATTATAAAGTTGATTTTGAGTAAAGCTTTAGACTTGTGTTTTTTTTTTCTTAATTAGGAGATGCATTTGCCTAAACTTTATAGAGATGTATTTTTTATATCAATACTAAAGCAGAAGTATAAAACCAACAGATTGACAAAATGAAATTATCATTGATAATATAAAAATCAAATTATATAAGTGATGTTAACATAGATTAAACATTACATTTTAATATTTAGTTGGACATTGCAACATCTTCATAATATCTTTGACCTATCTCGAAATCGTCACATCCACCTTGATCAGAACTTTTATTTCTAAAAGGAAAAGTATTCTACATAGCTCTTAAATCTGCATCCATCTTCAGTTCAAAGTTGTTGAATTCAATCTTTCCTTCGTTGTCAATCGACGACGAATGATACTCGATCTTTACAATTTTTCGATTGTCATCGTATAGTAGGAGATTCTGTAGTATGTATTTCAGATTAACAAGAGGGATGTACTCATTAATCTTAAATTCAATTAAGGGTTTTGCACTATTAAATTATACATTTGCGACGTGGCAATTGATGTTCATTCTAGATTAATATGTTTTGGCATGAAACAATGACACAAGTGTCCTATATTTATAATATTTGTAGACAAATATGGTCCTCTGAAATTCTATCTTGTATCATAGGATGTTCCAGAAATGCATCTTTAGAACCACCCTTTATGTTATTCTGGAGATGTATAACATAATGAAATTCTATTTTAGACAAAA